AAGGTGTGGAGTGCACTCTTGTTTATGTTTATTCAAGATTAAAAGTAGGATGTCATTTAGGGGCGAAGCCCCTGAACGAACAAGGGTCCGGGGGCAGCGCCCCTGGGAGCAGGGTCCAAGGGGCGGCAGCCCCTGGCGGGGTCCAAGGGGCAGAGCCCCTAGTTGGGGTCGAATTTTTAATATTTGACCCGTTTTTGGTTTGCATTAATCCATATAGAAAACCCGAATTTATGACAATTTTTTACTGTTGGAAAACAGTTTTATGACAGTTTTGACAGTTTTCAGACAAGGGAGATATTTAACCAATTTTTGGTCAGTTTTTTGGTACTCACAAAATTGATACATTACATTCTCTTAACTAAATCTCTTCTGAGTCTTATACAATCAAAGATTAGGGAGTACCACCCAAATAATTTGATTTGAAAGCGGAATCACAATTCTCAAAATATCCAAGTGCCTTTATTACGCCGAAAATCTAACAGTAAGAACAAAAATAGTCATTGCTTTGTAATAAAACTTGGTCATTAATTTGTGAGCCATGTCCATACCGAACCACTCCCCCAGAATCCGAGAAGAAAAAGTAAGAGGTTGGCATGGGTCAGTAAGGATGAAGGATGAAGGACGAAGGACGAAGGTAAATGGCACTTCAATCCTGTTGCAACTTGATGAGTAGGTTTGACAAGATACATGTACTTTGACTTCCGTTACAGCTAAGCAAAACGTTTCCGTTTCTGATAGTTGTCAAAAATCATATTTTCCTTTCCAGGTTTATTGTTATTAAAACCCATTTAGATTATTTCCAAACATGCACCGTGTACAACCCGGTGTTGCATACCATGTTGCAAGATTCTTGGTGATATACGCATTTTAAAGAATCACCCGATGAATAAATTTAAATTAATCTAGGGATTTTAAAGTTCCAATGACCTTTGTAAACACATTAACAACTACTATTTGTTTCGAGTATGTATTTTTTGGATCCACTCGTCGACATAGACTTTGAAGTCCTTAAAATAAGTGATAAGCATATGTATTTGTTCAAGAAAAAAATATTATAGAAGCAGTGAATATGGATAACCTCGTTTAGCTTTGGATAAAGTTGAACCTTGTAAAGCAGTGAAATCATAGCTATTTTCTCGAGGTCCCACAGATGGTGCCACTTGTTGAATCTCAGGATTATCGGGTCTCGATGAAGGTCTCGAACCTGATGATGATAAGGAGATCTGAAGCTTCGTACCTGAAATACAACATAACCAATCAAGAGTTCTCCAGGATCGGTCCTAGGAGAACCCTCCGATTGTTAAATTAGTCAATGTTTGTTATTCGATTTTGTTTTGTATGAGAGAGAGAGAGAAAAAGATATTTGTTTACCCCGATGTGTATGTTTATGTGGTGTATATATAGTCGAAGATATTTTTACCTTGGGGAAGAAGGTAGAGGTTCTGGTGCACTTGTCTTAGGACGGAGCGTGTGCCAGACCATTGTTTGTTGGGAAGGAGCAAAAACTTATACCTTTGGTCTTGAGAAGGAGAATCATGGTTGGCCGACGCCGAACCACTTGTGTTGAGGATGAACCTTGTTGGCCGAGGCTGAACCACTTGTGCTAAGGATGAACCTGGTTGGTCGAGGCCGAACCTGGTTAGTCGAGGTCGAACTGCTTGTGTTGAGGATTAACCTGGTTAGCTGAGGCCAAACCTGGTTGACCGACGTCGAACCACTTGTGCTGAGGATGAACCTGGTTGGCCGAGGCCGAACCTAATTAGTAGAACCATGTTTGCCCGTATTCGGAAAAAAGTCCGATCAGGGATATATGTTATTAACCCTCAAACCCAAGGGAAGAGTTATTGTTAACACAATATTGGATTGACATTTTGGAGGATGAACAACTAGGAAATACACAATCGATTGATCATTTCTGACTACGCATTACTAAAAGGTTTCATGAAGAAATTGATGTTGGTGATGACTATTGTATTAAACACCATCTAAATTCAATGTTTCGAGAAATCGCGAAGAGTGTTTCGAAGATGAACGGGTTATACAACAACCTAAAACCCAAATGAGAATCGGTCAAGGTGATGAAGAAATTCTTCAAGAGGCATATCATTTGTATCGTGGGGAAAACGGAAAGTCATTCAAGTTTAATGACATTTGGAAAGTGTTATCTTGTAGTCCAAAATGGAAAGAATTTGAAGCCAACATCATACTTGGAGGAGCAGGCATTTGAAAAAAAAATGCTAAAAAAGAAAAGGCGCACGAGGAAAACAAACTGTATAGAAGATCTGCAATATTTATGCAAAGTACCGATCATTTTTCGGGACACATCCTCCAGCTTGCTTTGATAATGAGGAAGGAGATCACGAAAAAATATATTTCCCCTAGATTGTTTTATGTTTGTTTTTTAATTATATAATTTTTTTTGAAAAAGATAGTTATGTAATTTTCTATTTTGAAGTAATTAAATATTAGAATTTTTATTCATTTTGTGTTAGTAATTAATTTTTTATTTAATTTAAATTATTTATTAACATTTAATTTTTAAATTAAAATAATTTTATAGTAAAAAATAAAAGAAAGTAAAATGTGACTATTTTCTAGGTTTTGAAAAGTGAAGGAAAGATGACGTAGCGCTGAGGTGACATAGAAAAAAGTAAAATGTGAAATATGGGTATACATTTAGGTCTAATGCAACCAACATCATAATTAAGTATAGAAAGTAATGGACTATTTAATAGTTACTGATTAAATCAGACATAGTACATGTGTAATGTCCCAAAAATACAGAGTAAAAATTTCATTTTAAATAAGTTAAAGTCATTCATTCATTGTTCTAAAAGACGTTCAGAGTCAAAGTATTCTCAAAACATCAGAGTAATTTGTAAACATTCAGTGCGAAATAAACTCCAGGAGATGCAGTGCGATCAAGCCGGACCCTTCCTTTTGAAAACGGAAGTACCTAAAACCATAAACATAAAATGTAAGTACAAAGCTTAGTGAGTTCTCCAAAGTACCACATACCAAACATACAAATATGGTCCCCGCCTTGTGGTATATTTCAACCCAATAAACAAATATGGGCCCCGTCCTGGGGTATGTTTCAACCCGATAACATGATACTTGTAATGCTGAGGGCCAGATCTCGGTCTTACATACAAGTGTCATGGGCTACCCCCATGGTCTTTCCTTGTAATGTCAAGGGCCAAATCCCCGGTCTTACATACAGGTGTCATATGCTACCCCCATGGTATTTCCTTGTAATGCCGAGGGCCAAATCCCGGTCTTATATATAGGTGTCATGGGCTACCCCCATGGTCTTTCATACAAGTATCGCAAAGACAACTAGCATCCTACAATACAAATCCTAATGGGTCAACATTGGTGTCTTTGACCGACAGGTATAGTGAGGAGACTCACCTGAACTACTCAACAGAATCCCAACAGCTACCTCAGCATCAGAACAGCCAACCCAAACTTCCTAAAACCAAACCGAAACCAATCCTTAGTCAAATACTTCATTCTCCCCAAGTTTGACCAAAAGTCAAACTGGTCAAAAAGTTAATAGTCAAAGTCCACAAGGTCAACGGTCAACTTATTCAAAGTGAACGTCACGTCGTGACCATTCATTGGTCACGTCGTGAGAATGCAACGACAAACAATTATGATTCTAGACACCGTCACTTCGTGACACATCCTATGTCACGTTGTGACTTCTAGTCAGAAGGCCAAAATCTTTATTAAGTGCTTAATCTCTTCAGACCAAGGCTCATAACCTCAGATATAGTTCCTAAATAGGTGCATAATGGATAAAGTTTCCAACATTATCCATTAGGATGGTCCAAACAACCAAGATCTAGTCTTTAAGTCTTAAAGGGACCAAGAATGCATCTTTCTCAGCTAAATCCATTAAGTCCAAGTCTCCAACCTTCATATCTGAATCAACATAATGTTAAGATGGATAAAGTTTCCAACTTTATCCATAATAATGTCTCAAGCTTCCAATATCTAAACTTTAATACACCAAAAATGGCTTAAATGACCAAAATAACTTGCATGGCTGGAAGGGAAGGCAAAAGATCAAAACTTTCCTAGTCCATGAGGTCCAAGAAAACATTCTAAACTTGATCAAAAGGTGTTGGAGTCCAGATCTAAAACATATAATGTTCTTGGGTCCTTAGAGAGTAATAAAGTTGCAAACTTTATTCCCAACTCTCATTCAAAACTCATTGAAATGGACCAAAACACCAAAATACACTTAGATCCAAAGATGAAATGCAATAAAGCTTGGAACTTTATAACTTACAAAGGTATAGAAGGTAGATGAAAGTTGAGATCTTCAATTACCAAGCTTCAAGGATCAATATTGCATGAAAACATTGCTCCAAAACCACCAAAAGCTCCAAAAATGAACGAGAGAGGAGAGGGGAGGCTCAAATCTTGAAAATGGAGGCTAGGGTTTATCCCAAGAGGTTCTAGATATGATGGAGGCTAACAAAATACCCTAAAATATTAATTCTTACCTTTAAATACCTTGAAAACCCTAAAAATTTTGTGGGCTTTTGGACTGCACAAATATCATGTCGTGAGAATACATTCTCACCTTGTGAGAACTTCTCACACCGTGAGAATTACTTCTCACCTCGTGAGAATGGGTTTTCGCTCAATTTCACTTCAACTTCAAACAATCATAATTTCTTCGTTTCAACTCCGCTTCGGGCGATCTTTATATCCACGGAAAGGTATTGACGAACCTCATACTTCTATCTAGTTAATTTTTGGCTTAACACATGTCAAACTAAAAACCATAATTCATGAAAGAAGTCTAAAAGATCACTTTTCCCATTTTACCCTTTAACTTCAAGACACAAACCAAAGCTTTAATCACTTATCCAACATTATCATCATCCAATAAAGTCTAAACCACATTCCCTTGAAGCCCAAGACCTTTACTTAAACCATTCATTGTCCACAATGCCGAAAGTAAAAAAACTTCTCGAAACAGGATGTTACAACATAACTTTAAATCTGACCAAGTAAGAAGAATATCAAATAAAAAAAAAATCAACTTCTTACATTAAAAAAAAAAATCAACTTCTTACATTAAAAAAAAAAAAAATCAATCAACTCGTGAGGCTTAGGAGTTGTGTTTTGTGCCAAAAGATATATGGGCCTGGGCCTTAAAAAGTCCTACCGAAAAAAAATAAAATAAAATAAAAAATTGGCGAACCGAAGAGCTGCTCTTAATTCCGGTTACTGATTGTAGAGTGTAGACTTCGTCCGGCGACTCTTCCAAATCCTACGTCACAGCAAAGAAATCGAGGTAATTCTTTTGGTTTTATAGTCTGAAATGTTAGCACTGAGAATGCACACCACCTGTTTGATATGAAGCTCGCTTATTTAAACGGATTGAAAACCCTTTCAAATTATGCATCATTTGCTCTCCTACTTTCCAATATATCCATTCGACGCAATTCATCTTTCCAATTCCTTGAAAACGCTTAGCTTTATGTAAATTTAACATAATTCCAAATTTTGCCTACATCGAAATTCAAGATTTTATATAAAATGCAGAATTTGTCAACAGTCTTGACCTCAATGAATATTGGCGTGGTTCACTCCGAGGTGAGTTCGTAATCGTATCAGTTAAACAAATCCAACATTATGAAAGAAGCACATCTCCTTACTCCAGTCTCTCAATTCTTTTCTCAGATTGAAGAAATTGGATGGGAACATCTGGTGAGATTAGCAGAAGATCTATCATTGGTTACCTTTCGTGTCATGTAAGATCCTTAAACCTTCATAAAACCATCATGAACTTCTGAAAAATGCTTCAATCATCCACCACTGTTACTGTTTTTCTTCAGTGACAAGAAGGAAAGAGTTCACATCTTAGAAATCTCATTCGACAAATCTTATCCAAACACCCCACCATCAGTCTCAGCTGTTAGTTATCCAATATCTATAATCCTCTTATATTCTCAAACAATCTTTATTCCATAACTAATAATTTAATCCTTCATCAGGATGTACCTTACATATTCAATCTGCAATGGTCAAAAAATTCAAGACTCAAAGATGTTGTAAACCAATTCAAACAGGTATATTACCATGAATCTCTGTACGCTAGATTTATAATATCCTTCCTAAACGATTTGATCCACTCAGCATCTTGAGAGTCTTCAACAATTTTGGTCAACGGTTGAAGATATTGACCAGTCTCTTTGTCTTTCTGATTCATCAAATTTGCATCGTGCCATGTCACTCCGCCATATAAATATTGGTAACTTGCGAAAATAGCAAATTACTTTACTCTTTTTAACATTTTAGGCTATATACTTTATTATTGGATAAAAAAATATAAGTTTTTTTCTTTTTCAGGAAATGATTGCTCTATCATAGTATTAATACATGCAAATGAGCCAAGATCTTTACCAGAGTAAAATTTACTTACATTGAGCATATTGCATAGTCATAACCTTAACTTATGCTGACATCAGCATGTTGTATGTTGTGACAGGTGTCGTTTTATGGGGTCGAATGAAAATGTAAATTCACTAAGGGACAAATGGCGGAAGAATTGCAAGAAATGGTTTTTTTTTTCCTCAACATTCTTTATAAAACGTGTAAAAATTCTGATTATTTTTATATCTATTGTGTGTATATTATTTTAGGAAAAAGGAAAAAACATTTGGTGAAAATTTATCAAATTTGTTGGAGATTCAACTTCCAAAACCACAAGGTGTTGAGAAAAACGACCAACAAATTGAATGTGGGATTTGTTATTCACAATTCCTTCCAATAGATGATGAATTTGGAGCTAATAGTGGGGGCAAAACAGACTATTCATGTGAAAATAGCATATGCAACAAGTCTTTTCATAGTGTTTGCCTTGGAGATTGGTTACGTTCCATTACAACAACAAGACAGTATGTAATCTATACTCATTTATAGTTATACCCATTTTGCCCCTCTCCTAATAACATGAAACATGATCATTCACTTTAATTTGTTTCCTTTTTGTGATTATATTGCAGATCATTTAATGTCCTTTTTGGGAATTGCCCGTATTGCTCGGAACCCGTTGCAGTCAAAATTGGCACAAGAAAATAAATTGTTTTGATTTATTTATTAGGGAAAAATGTAACAAAAATGTAAGTACATTGCGATAATAGTTAAAAAAAATTATGAAGTATATTGTGATTATCAGTAAAGAAACGTAAGTATAAAATATACATGCATTGCCAATATTGGTAGATAGGGTAAAGTATGTTGATATTCTACACAATGTCCTAATTATTACCCAAAAAGATTTTAATTAGAGATTGTATATACCTTAAAACTTTTTCAAGATGATTTAGTTATGAGAGACAAAATAAGCATAAAGTGATAGGAATGGGGAAAAGTAAAAGCTTTTTATTCACGTAAAATAAGTATATAATATAGTACGCATATCAATTATCACATTACTATACCCTTTCACAATTATGGCCAAACCATTATTTGTGTCTTTCAAAGTCCCGCCATTAAAATTCCACTTTACTTACACCCTCCCATCAACTATTCAATTCCATTGTTGGAAACGGAATCTAAATTCCGGCCTTACATTCCGGTGGGGTAATTGGATTCCGTTGTTTATCCGTGCAATAATCATAAACCATGTGGTTTAACCGGACCCACCGGTACTGACGCCCAGCCACCGGGTCCAGGTGTTGATAGGCGGCGCCCTCCCACCAGTTGGATGGGTTAGCAGCGCACCAGCCCGGACCCGGGACAGTACAACCCTCAATGTCAAAGTCTTTGTAGTACGTGTAAAAGGGCGATTTCGTCCAATCTATTTTTTCGAGCCCACCTCTTGTCGCCCAATCATCGGCTTCCCATAATGTTGAGTACACTCCCATTGGTTGAATTTTTGGGAATGGAATTCCTTTGTCTTCATTATTCTTATATACCCTTATAGGGACTTCATCCACATAAAACCTATGTACATGAAATCATAATTTAATTATTCGATTATTTAAAGTATTTATAAAACTTATGCAACTTACACCACATGGTAATGGTTCCATAGAATGGAATAAGTATGAAAGTCAACAGCCGGGTCAAACCATAGGTTAATCCTTTGTTCTCTATCACCTTTTCCATGAGTATAAACATTGGTTTGAACCGAGTAGGGTTGACCGGTTCGGTTCCCCAAAAACTCAAAATCAAGCTCATCGCGTATTTGATCAGTATCTGAATTCATCTGCCATGAAAACCTTGTTTTTTTATATAAAAAAGAAAATCAATATTATATATTAATAAGTAACAATAATCTTACATAAAATGCAGTGACAGTGCCGGCAGAATCTCCTGGAATGAGCTTAATCTTCATGCTTACACGTCCAAATAAGTATTTGTTTTTCGAAGCAAATCCACAACCTGTCAGATGTACACTTTATCATTTTAAACAATATTACAGAGTAGTAGAATTTGGTCAAAAGAAATTACAAACCAGAGTTTTGGTCAAGGAGAAGTTGGATTGCCTTTCCGCCATCGAGTTGCTTGATGTGTGAATCGGACCATGTTACATGAAAATCCTGCAAGAACATGGCTGGTTTTGAATATGCCATCGGAAGTGCAACAAATTTAATTAGGAAAATAGTGAAGACAAGGGTATTAGAGAATATTGTGTATGTGAATGTCATTTTGAGAGTGTGGTTATGTTGGATATAGGAGTGGGATATATAAATAGGCATGGAGTGAGCTTTTATAGGGACTAATATTGCTAACTCTTAGAAGGAGAGGGGTCTTTATGTAAATTTGGCAATCCATCGAAACACATGAGATGAGAATGGTTATAGATTTTTCAGTAATTATTCGTGCTCTTGAAAGTTGAAAATGGTACATCTTTTACTTTTGTTCTTTTGATTACTTATAATTGAAATAAAGACACTGTAATCAAACGAGGTTGTACATTACTTTCTTCCCATTCATGTTACTATATGATGCATTGCTTTCATGTTATAAATAAATTCACTTTTAGGTTTTGAAATTTAAATTTTGTAATAAATAAACGTAATTGTCCTTCCTTTTTATTAATTGTTCCACTCAATATATATTTCTATGTTTTAATTAAAAGTTGAACTTGGTTCTACTAACATTACACGAGCCGAATAATCATAGAACCCTACATGTTGCAGCATATCTGTTTTGTAATTGTATTTTTCTTTCTCGTAATGACGTAACTTTATCTAAAATATATATGACATGTTTTTGCAGAGTTACCTTTCTATATATTACAGTATTAGAAAATCATAATGTTGAGATACATAAAAGAAACGCATTTGATTATGAGCTTCTGAGAGTTTCAAACTGTAAGATTTTATAGAAAGTCGAACTATAGAAAAGTTTGTTAGAAAGTACGGGGTTAAATTTTTAATACAGAACAAAAAGCTTATAATCTAAAAATTATTTCAAATATCGATCAAAGAAGAAGTCCTTCTTTTTACAACAAATTTGCTTGGTTGTCCTTCAAAAATCATATATTTTTATTTCAGATACCATTTTTGCTAATCATGACCCTTGTTTTTGTTTCCTCCTAATAATGGACCAGTAAATCATGAGGGGTAAAGTGAATGATCTCTTCTTGTTTTGTACTTTTTTCCCTCCCACAATTAAATATTTCTTATGAAAGGGTTTTAATATTTATTATTTCGGATTATCTCACAAGCTGTAATGTTTTATATTTTTTTATGAAAGGTATATCATTTTTTATTGCAAATGGTAACATAAACATACATAACTCTTTTTTTTTTTTTATCTTCTACCCCAAACAACAATAAAACTTCACAACAACAAACTTCACAACTGCATGTTGTGAATGGGTGATAATTAGTTTCCCAAATAAATGCTGTCGTTGACCATTTGCAATATCTATTTAATTCGGGATTCATCATTATGCAAAAATTTATGTAGAGATTACCATGAATTCTGTTGAGTTTTTGACAATATTAGAGTGATTGAAAAAAGTATTTACAATTTTAGTGTGCTTTGCAAAATATTTACCAAAATACTATTCCTTTAGATTGAAAACTAATGTTATTGTTTAAAGAAAAACACTTTTCTTTTTTCACAATCCCATGAACGAGCGTCAACAGAAGGGAAAAAAAACGAGAACTCAAACTAGGGCTCCATTCCGTCGCTCCATTGTCGCTCCTCTACCCCATCGCCAGCTACCTGCAGTCTTCTCCACCCGTCGTCGGCCACCTGCGGCCTCCTCCACCGTCGCCGGAAACCTACGGCCTCCTCCACCCGTCGCTCCGGCATCAGCTACGCGGTGGTGGACGGTGACAGAATTTTTTCACTGTTGAGTCGGTGGTGATTGGGTGAAGGTTCAGGTGAGGGATTGTTGCCTAATTCTTTGAAGATTATATCTTCTTGTATTAAGACTGTGTCTACTAATACTAGCACTGCTGTTTGTTCCACCGGTGCTTCGCGGCTTCGATTGCAGCTTTCGAAGACGATGAGAGATCAAGTGTTTGTTTTTCTGATCGACATTATATACTTTACTATATGTGTTAATTAATTGTCTGTTGAGTAATTTTGGTTGTACGATTAGAATAATCATGCTGGAATCATATTAACTGGAATACCTCTTTGCATCGACATGTTTGTTAATTACAACTCTGTGCAATCATGAGTTGATTTGTGAATTTACAAGTCCATGTGACGGTGTTCATGCATAACAGGGCAGTAGAATGCTATTGGAGTCTGGACAGCATTTGTTTATAAGTAATTAATATTAATCCATGAATGTATGATGCAAAGCTAAATAGAAATATGCACCATGGGAGCTGATGTATGACAATATGAAAATTTTCATTTTATGTCCAGTAAGTGTCTGCAGAGTATCTTTGGTTGTATGAATAAAATAAATATGCTGGACAAGATCATAAGAAATAGCTCTTAGCAAGTGTCATGTTTGTTTATTACAAATAAGCTCATTTAAGAACTTAAAAAAGTTCATATGATATTATTTGTGCTTAATCGGACACTCGATTGCTCTAGTATGTCTTCAAGTTTTATAAGTACATAATTTTATACAAAGATAAATGGACTTCTACATCATTAGGACACTAGATTGCTCTAGTATGTCTTCAAGTTTTATAAGTACATAATTCTATACAAAGATAAATGGACTTGTACATCATGTATGTTGATATATGATTCCTTTTTTGGTTGTACACTTTTATGATTGAAGTAAGTATATTGGATCAGATTAAATGACTATCATTATGTTTGTTAATTACAACTCTCTATAATTCATGTCATGTTGTATAAGAAAAAATGATATTAAAAAAAACAAAAATAAAAAAAGATAAAAATAAATGTTATTTAAAAAGAACAGTAAAAAAACTGAAATAAAAACTATTACTTAAAAAACAAAAAAAATCGTAAAAAGGTGAAATAAAAGTGAAAGAGAGAAAATTCAGATATTAAAAATAAAGAAACATTAAAGAAAACTGAAAAGTAAAGAAAAAATAAAAAGAAATACTATTTTCTTAAATAATTTTAAAACAACACTAGAATGATAAATATTTTTTTCAATCACCCTATTATTGTCAAAAACTCGAATTCTGTTTGTGAGTTGAGAATGAGTGTTAAATTTTAGACCATTTATATTTAATCTCTATTCGAACCAATATCATATGGAGTTATCTCATTTCTTTTGTTTCTAAATAATATGTTATTTGAAATAACCAATGATAAAGGTGTTTGAATTCTCAAAACTTTCATCTATAATGTCATTCATGAAGCATTCACGTATTCACATATTGATGGTTTACATCGAGATCAGATTGCTAACATCTTTAATTTGTAATGTGGTTTTGTAAAGATAAACAAGAAGCTTAAAAAGATCCCAAAATAGGAAACAATATGTAGAGGAATCTAAAATTTTCGGTTAATCCTTATTATTGCATGAGAAGACAAACATGCAGCTGATAAGATGTAATTTCTCTATCGTCAATGACCGTAATCTTTAGGGATGAGCATATGGACCGGGAACCGGCCGGAACCGGTACCGGAACCGGAACCGGCACCGGAACCGGGACCCGATGGAACCGGTCGGGCTGGGACCGGGACGTTATTTTTGTGGATTTTTGGAACCGGGAACCGGTAGGAACCGGAACCGATATAACCGGAACCGGTAGAACCGGCAAAAACCGGAACCGTATGATGCTATTTTTCAAGGACCGGTTCCAACATTTGAAGACACGACAAGAACCGGTAGGAACCGGGAACCGGTAGAACCGCCAGGTCGGTTCGGTTCTTGATTTTGGCCGAAGCCGGTTCACGGGTCGGGTCTGGTTCCGGCCGGTTCGATCCTTTTGCTCATCCCTAGTAATCTTTTCTCATCCGATAGAATAATCTATATAAATAACATCAAAACACTCATCTGGAAGACCAATAAATATTTTATGGATTTGAAATGTGTAGGATAAAATGTTAAAGACACCATCTATATTAGCCGCTTATAATTTTCAAAATTTTATATTGTAGTCAAGGGCGGAGACAATACAGGGGCATGCAGGTGTGCAGCCCCTGCCAACTTTTCTCACGATTCTTTTAAATCTTTAGTCATAATATAAATTCTATCACCTTAGCCAGCCAACCCATATAGCCCGAACTTTTTTTAAAAAAAAAAAAAATTAATTTTACTTATTACATAAAAATCTAGTTACGTCAATTACACAAATAAATAGATAACTAAAAGTTAAGTTATTTATTCATCTACTTTTTATATTTGTTAAAATTATTGCTATATTCAATTATTTTCAAAGATACGTGTCGATATTTGTAAATATTAAATTATTATTATATTAAAATATACATATGAAATTAACGTAAATTACTTGTCTGTGTGATAATTGTGGTTATTGAAATTCGTTTTGATTTCAGATTGTGGTTGAAAATAAAAGAGATCAATTTTTATTTAAAATCTGATATTGAAGCTAAAATCTATAAACTATTTTTTGTTAACTACCAATGATATATATTGTTTTAAGGCAATCATGTTCAAAACTTTTATGAGTTCATCCTAATTAAACTAAATAGTGGATACCTTATTTTTTTTTAGATTTAACTTCAAAACACAAAAATATCACTTGGCTGAATATAAATAATTGTTTATGTTTTTAATCGATTATACTCAAATGATTGTTTTCTAAATTTGTCTCAATTTAATACGTTATTTGGAAAATAAAATTAAAGTCTTATACTGATGCAAGCCCCCGTCATTACCAAATTCCAGCTCCGCTACTGATTGTCGTCAGTGGGAGGTGGAGAAGCTTATGTTTTCACTTCCAACTAGCTAACCTTCCTCTTGATGTTTTCACTACCTGTATAGTAATAATCGGATGGCTATTTGTAATGTAACAATTCACTCTTTAGTATGTATTTTTGATAATTCAACTTTTATGAATATTAATTTACATACACACACACACACACACACATATATATATATATATATATATATATATATATAGAGAGAGAGAGAGAGAGAGAGAGAGAGAGCTAGGTTCAAATATTCTAACTAATTATTGTGCGGATATCGTATGCTATGAGAATTACTAAGAGAATAAGTTGTTTAGCAATGCGAATACGCGGATCTGACTTCTTTCTTAATGATTGAATACTCACCTAAAGTAAGG